ACTCGAGCAGCATTTTAGATTTCCCAGCAACAAATTGATGCCTTGCTGCATTTGTAGCTACTAATGATGCATAGTTTGTAAGATTTAGAAATGGAATTTCCAGCAATTGAACCACCTAGATAACAAATTAAGTACAAATGAAATTAATAATGACAAAATAAAATCGTGCCAAGCTGGGATTCAGTTCAAGCAAAAAGCACAATAAATGTATAGCTGAAAAACTTAAACGTGGTTAGAAAACAATGAAGCAAAATGTGAAAGAAAGGCGAGTAATATGGTACTCACTGCAATTGGTCCTTCAACTCTAACCAGGAGGAAGGAGAAACAAAAGAAACACAGTAAAGGAGATCAGGTGAGTCCTCACCTTCCATGATTTTATTATCCATTAATAGTAGAGGATTAGGGGGGGTAGGAAAAAAAAGGGTGATTCGGGAGTTGATTGCCAAACAAAAGGTTGAGGTTTTGTTTATTCAAGAATCTAAACTAGAGTCGGTAGACGATAGGATTTGTAGTATGTTGTGGGGCTCAGATAAATTTGAGTGGGCAGCACAATCCGCGTCTGGAGCTTCCGGGGGAATTGTAACTATTTGGAACCCGTGCATCTTCAAGAAGACTAATAGCTTTCAAGGGGCAGGTTTTTTGGGCGTTGAGGGGACTTGGGGAGAAGAAAATATTCCCTGTTTTCTGGTAAATGTCTATTCTCCTTGCGATTTGGCTAATAAGAGATCCCTATGGGAGAATTTGTCCAGTATAATATCCTCTCATAAAGGTAACTGGTGCATAGCTGGGGATTTCAATGCCATCCGAAGCCTTCAGGAAAGGAAAGGTGGTATCAGTGTCAGGAGGGAGATCAGGGAGTTCAGTGAATTCATCAAGATGAATGGGTTGATAGATCTTCCTATGATAGGGAGAAAATTCACCTGGTACCAACCGAATGGACACTGTATGAGCCGATTGGACAGGTTTTTATTCTCTGAGGAATGGATGCTTAAGTGGACAGACTTGAAGCAATGGGGGTTACCTAGGGCTCTGTCAGATCACTGTCCAATTCTGGTGAGGGATGAAACACGCAACTGGGGCCCCAAACCTTTCAAATTTTATAATGTGTGGCTTCAAGATCCTGCGTTTAGGAAAATGGTTGAAGATCAGTGGAATAACTCAGATATTCGAGGATGGGGAGGCTTTGTGTTGAAAGAGAAGCTAAAAAGATTGAAGGCTGGCGCGAAGGAATGGGCACAATCTCAAGTGCAAATGGTGGATAACCAAATTGAGAAGGCAAAAGCCATTTTAGCTGAACTTGATATTAAAGGGGAAGCACAACAGCTTAATGAACAGGAATGCCTCCTCAAGAGAGACCTAATGGTAACTCTATGGGAAAACTTTCAAATAAAAGAGGAAATGGCAAAACAAAAATCAAGGATGACATGGATGAAAGAAGGGGACGCAAACACAAGCTTCTTTCACTGATGTATTAAAGGCAGATGGAGAAGGAACGAGATTAACTCCTTATCAGTCAATGGGAAGGTGTTGCACGAAGTTAACGAGCTAAAAGAAGGAGTAGCCAACTATTTCACGAATCTTTTCGCAGATGATGGCTGGAAGAGGCCAGTTTTAGATGGAGTGGGATTCAATCAAATTTCAGAAGCCGAGAAGGATCTCTTAACAGAACCATTCCTTGAATCAGAGGTCAAAGCGGCAGTATGGAATTGTGATAGTGCAAAGGCTCCAGGCCCGGATGGCTTCAGCTTTGGGTTCCTAAAAGCAGAATGGGAAGTGATCAAGGAGGACATTCTAAAGTTTCTAAATGATTTCCATAATAACAGCAGGATGGTAAGGGGCTCCAATCCGTCATTTCTGGTGCTGATACCAAAAAAGGAGAACCCACAAGGAATCGAGGAATACAGACCTATCTCCCTGATAGGCTGTATGTACAAAATTCTTGCTAAAATCTTAGCCAACAGATTAAGTAAGGTCATGGACGGAATCATAAGTGACCAACAATCAGCATTCATTGGAGGGAGACAACTAGTTGACGGAGTAGTCATTGCTAATGAAACAATTGACGAGATTAGAAGGAAAAGAATGAGATGCTTCCTGTTTAAGGCTGATTTTGAGAAAGCATACGACAATATCAGCTGGGAGTTTCTGGATTACATGCTGGAAAGAATGAACTTCGGGCCAATTTGGAGGGGATGGATCCAAGAATGCCTTCGATCAAACTCGATCTCAGTTTTGCTCAACGGTAGTCCAACAAAGGAGTTCGCTATGCAAAGAGGACTAAGGCAAGGTGATCCCTTAGCCCCATTCCTGTTTCTTATCGTTGCGGAAGGGCTCAATGGCATCATCTCGTCGGCTGTCGCGAAAGGACTATTCGAAGGGGTCCCAATTGGAGGAGGGGGTATGAACATATCCCATTTACAGTTTGCGGACGACACCTTACTGCTAGGAATAGCAACAGAAGATAATGTCTGGACCTCAAAATGCATAATGAGAGCCTTCGAACTTGTCTCCGGTTTGAAAATAAACTACGGTAAAAGCTCCTTTATTGGAATCAATGTTGATAAAGTATGGGAAGAGGAAATGACTTGGCTATTGAATTGCAAATCAGGGTCATTACCGTGTAAGTACCTGGGCATCCCTTTGGGAGCAGACCCGAGAAGGATTGTTACATGGAAGCCACTTATCCACTCTTTTAAAAGAAAACTCTCATCATGGAAGGGGCGATACCTATCTTTCGGAGGAAGAATCACGCTCATAAACTCGGTGCTGTCCAGTTTACCTGTGTTCCTAATGTCCTTTTTCCTCCTTCCAAAGAGTGTCATAAGAGAGTTAGACAAAATTAGGAGACGATTCCTATGGGGGGGAGTTGGGGAGAGAAAAAAAGTAGCATGGGTAGCATGGGAGAATACTTGCCTAAACAAGCTTGAAGGGGGTTTGGGCATTAAAAATCTGTCATGCTTTAATAAGTCATTATTAGGAAAATGGTGGGGAAGACTGCTTATGGAGAAAGGGGGGCTGTGGAAGAGAGTCCTAGCTGAAAAATATGGGATCAAAGAAGGGTATTGGCTCACTTGCTTAAAGGAGGGCAGACCACAAGGCTCCAAATGGTGGAGGGACGTTTGCAAAATAGACCAAGGGGAGGGCATAATGAATAACTGGGTGAGTTTGGGTTTTGAAGCAAAATTGGGGGACGGTGGAACCTTGAAATTCTGGTCGGATGTATGGGTAGGAGGGAGTGCACTCTCTATCAAATTCCCTCATTTGTTTTTGTTAACCACAGACCAAAATGCAACTATTAAAGATATGGGAACCTGGAGGAATAGCAGCTGGCACTGGAAATTACCATGGAAGCGCCAACTTCGCTCATGGGAGGAGGATCTAGAAAAAGAGCTTCTTGAGATAATTAATACAACTCACCCTTCACAGAACAAAGAAGACCAGTGGAGTTGGCATTTAGAAATCTCAGGAAATTACACAACTAAGTCTGCTTATTCTCAACTATCAAAGGGCGTTCCAAGGCATGAAGGGGACTTCAAAAGGGTATGGAAAGCACCTATCCCACCCAAAGTAAGTGCATTTTGTTGGCAATTACTTCATAGGAAATTACCTACAAAAGATAATCTAGCATCTCGCGGAATTTTAACTGATATTGCAAGTTCTAATTGTTGCTGGTGTGATGCATTTCCCGAGTCCCATGACCACATTTTCTTACATTGTAACCTGGCTTACTCCTTGTGGATTAAATGTTACAAGTGGTGGGGAGTGCATTATGTTATGAGTAATTCGTGTAGAATGGTTTTAGACCAACACAAATGGACTGGAGGCAATAAATTAATAGATAGAGGGTGGAATATCATTTGGTTTGCAGTGGTATGGACTCTATGGCTGGGAAGGAATGACTGGATTTTTAACAAAAAGGAGGTAAAGGCCGACTGTCTCCTTGAGCTAGTTCAAATTCGATCTTTCTACTGGGCTAAGAATATTGCCGGAATGGACGGATTCTCCTTGCAAGCTTGGTGCGAGAACCCATCCAATTGTTTAAAGACCACCAACAAAAGGAAAGACAGGGTCTGAACTAGCCTTCTTATTGGATTTTGTTATGTTTTGCATTGATATAGCAGGCGGCAGGATAATTTTGCAACCTGCTGTTTTGCTGCTCCTGTAAGAATTGGGTTGGAATACCCCTAGTATTCCAATATTAATATTTCATTCGCCTTTCAAAAAAAAAATTTATTGTTCTCAATTTTCCATATCTCCTTATATTTCCTTTAGATCTCAAGCCTTTCTTTCGATCTTATTCTTCTTTTCTTTTTTTTTTTTAACGAAATGGGTTAATAGAAACTATTGCTTTGAATGATTTAGTTTTTATGATTTTACAGTATTACTATTACATTACATGGTGTAATGAATGGATTTTATATGAAATGAGAAGTTTAATTTATTCTTGATATAAAGTATGGGTAATGACATGGACACACTCGATTCATTCACCCAAATTAACATACAACCTTAAAATATTAATATTCAACAGTTTGAATTAAAAGCAAACAACTAAAATTTGTTTCCAAACATCTCCTCTACTCTAATAAAATGTTCGTAATCTAAAATTAAACAAACAAACAAAAGGAAAGGTGAGGAAGAAAGCACTCTGAGATTGGGAATGAGAAGACTTTGTTTTGCCCATGATTTCTTCCTTCTTTTCCCTCCTCCTCCTTTCTTTTTCTTCTTCTTTCCCTCACCTTCCCTCTTCTTCCTTCTCTTCCCCCTTTTGGACAACCCAAGTTTGGGTTCTCTTGAGAACCCAGTTTCGAGGTTCTCTTGGGGAACCCAGTTTTGGGTTACCCTTGAGAACCCAGTTTC